TCGGCGTTATCAATAATCTGATCGTCGGCGTTATCAATAATCTGATCATCGGCGTTATCAATAATCTGAATACATTCTGTTGGTCCTCCAGAAGAAACAGAATGCAGAGAAGAGGAGGATCGACTCCTCGGAAAAGGAGAAGAAGAAGATGAGGCTGGATGACACAGCAGAAGAGGAGGAGGAGCCAGACACTCAGGTAGATGCTTCCAGTGTGAGTCAGCTGATCAGAGACCAGCTGTAGTAAACAAATAAACAAACACCCTTCAATTACTTCAGAGAAGAAGAAATATGAACTTCCTGTCTGCTGTAAATGTGAAGAAGAAATGTGTTGTTCCAGATGTTTTGACACAAGTTTATCCTCCATTTATTCAGGATGATGATGATGATGTTGTTGTCATGGTGATGATGTTTACAGACGGACCAGAGGACACCACAGAAGAAGAAGAAGGAGGCAGTGAAGGAAACAAGGAGCATCAAGACTTCCTCTCTGTTCAAACACAATCCAGAAATCCCAGAGATCATCAGGTACACAGCTGCTCTCTGATTGGTCCACAGCCTGATGACATCATCCATCCTGTTGGTTATTAATTATTGATTATTGATCCGTCCTGTTGATTGTTGATCCGTCCTGTTGATTGTTGATTAGTCACTAATTATCTTTAGCCTCCTTTCGTCTTTTAGACCAGTTGTCTCCCAGTTAAAGGAGAAGATTTTCGCCAGTGACTCATTTTCCGATCTGGATCTTCATCCACACCTGGTAACACACACACACACACACACACTCAGTGACCCATAAAACATTGATAAACTCATCACTGATATGTTCACAGAATAAATAAGATAATAAATACACTTCTGTTATGTTTATTTACCATTATTATTGTTGTTGTTATTTAACCTCATCAGCAGTGTATTAATGTGATCTCTTGTTCTGTAAAATAAATTCATTTTAGTTGAGTGTGCTGTGATTGGCTTGTTTCTGTCCACCAGGTGGCGACACTGAACAAAGTCCTGAATGTTTCCACGGTGACCAGGTCAGTACACACACACACTACCAAAGTTAAACATTCAAGTTCATCGTAGTATCTTTAACGTTTATATGTGTGTTCAGTGTTCAGAAACAGACTATTCCAGTTCTTCTGGCGGGCCGAGACGCTGTGGTTCGTTCTCAGACGGGTTCAGGTGAGACACTAGTACTGTGGTACTACTAGTACTGTTCTTGGTAGTAGTAGTTCTAGTACTGTGGTAGCATTAGTTCTGTGGGACTAGTAGTACTGTTCTGTGATAGTTGTACTGTGGGATTAGTAGTACTGTTCTGTGGTAGTAGTAGTTCTAGTACTGTAGTACTAGTAGTACTTTAACAAGGAGCTGCAGGTCTCAGTCTTTAGTGTCTCCTCAGGTAAGACCCTGTCCTACGCCATCCCCGTGGTCCAGAGTCTGCAGGCGGTCCAGCAGAAGGTCTGCAGGTCTGATGGTCCCCTGGCCGTCGTCATTGTCCCCACCAGAGAGGTCTGACACACACCTGGTCTCTTAAAGTGCCAGTGTCCTCTAACATGACATCACTGTTTATCAACTGTTCCATTATTGATTCGCGTCACTGTTATTGATTCGCGTCACTGTTATTGATTCGCGTCACTGTTATTGGTTCGCGTCACCGTTATTGATTCGCGTCACCGTTATTGATTCGCGTCACCGTTATTGATTCACAGCTTCACTGTCACAAGGACAGATACAGGAGAACATTCCTTCCCACTGTAATAAGACTTTAAATAAATCACCTCTGGCCAAATCAATCACTCAAATATAACACCGTTACACTGTTTGTTTGGCTTAATCTTGCACTACTCCTTAATTTATTTAATATTATTCTATTTTATTGTATATATTGTGCATTTTTATATTTAATATTTTTACTGTTATTTTTATTGCTAGCTGTTTCCAGTCTTTATGCTAAGCTAAGCTAACCATGTCCTGATCATCACTCACGGAGACACTACAAACCTGTTGAACTGCTCCTTTAATGTGGATCTAAATCTCTTCCTCTCTGTCTCTCTTCCTCTCTGTCTCTCTTTCTGTCTGTCTCTCGGTCCCTCAGCTGGCCCAGCAGACGTTCCAGATCTTCCAGAAGCTCCTGAAGGTAACACAAAGCATCATATGAGTCAGATATTGGGATGTTTGATGTTTGTCGTTTGTATGACGTCGTCTCTTCTTCTCTCCTGTAAACTATGAAATGTTTTATGTAATATTTCTTGTTTCCTTCTGATGTTTAAAGACAAAGTGAATCCTGTTAGTTCAGTTCTGACCCATATGGATCAAAGATTTGTGACTGTATTCAATCACTAGTCTGCAAAGGGGTTTTATTTTGAAAGTTAACCCACTTGCTGCTCTTCAATGATAGTCCCACTGCATCAGACGTCCCCTCTGGCCTCTGTTTGTTCCTCTGTAGCCGTTCACCTGGATCGTCCCCGGAGTCCTGATGGGAGGAGAGAAGAGGAAGTCAGAGAAGGCCAGGTGACCTCCTCCTCCTCTAGTCTTTATGCTCTAGTCTTCTTCCTCCTCTAGTCTGTATCCTCTAGTCTGTATCCTCTAGTCTGTATCCTCTAGTCTTCATGCTCCTCTAGTCTTCATGCTCCTCTAGTCTTCATGCTCCTCTAGTCTTCATGCTCCTCTAGTCTTCATGCTCCTCTAGTCTTCATGCTCCTCTCGTCTTCATCTTCTCGTCTTCATCTTCTCGTCTTTATCCTCTCGTCTTTATCCTCTCGTCTTCATCCTCTCGTCTTCATCCTCTCGTCTTCATCCTCTCGTCTTCATCCTCTCGTTTTCATCCTCTCGTCTTTATCCTCTCGTCTCCATCTTATAGTCTTTATCATCATCTAGTCTTTGTCCTCCTCTAGTCTTTATCCTCCTCTAGTCTCCATCTTATAGTCTTTATCCTCTAGTCTTTATCCTCCTAGTTCTGCCAGCGGTTCTCAAGGTCCTAGAGACCTTGAGAAGGTTCAAGGTGTCCAGGAGGAGGTTGTGATTGACCTAAATAAGGGTTTCAGGAATAATTTAGAAAGTTGTCTATAAGCAGAAGAAGTTCTATGAATTCTTGTTGAAGCTTTAGAGGTCCTGGAAGAGGTAAATAGTGCTGAAATTCCAGAAACTTTCCTGAGGAACTTCAGCCAGAATAAACCTCAGGGAGTCATTAGGAAGTAAAGGGTTTGTCCTCTGGAGAGCAGGACATGTTCAGAGACTCGTTTCTGTAGCTCAAACTGACTGACGACTGTCTTCAGGCTTCGTAAAGGAATCAACATCCTGGTTTCAACTCCTGGACGTCTGGTGGATCACATCAAAAACACCCTAAGCATCGCCTTCAGTGGCGTCCGCTGGCTCATCCTGGACGAGGCCGACCGGTAACTTTCTACCTTCTTTAATGTTTACAGTCTGTAGCAAGTGGAGGAAGTCAACCTGTTGGTTTATGGGCGGCAATGTTACAACAAACTTGATGAAGTAAACACACGGTGAAAGGGTTAAAGTTGAAAGAAGAAAACACAGACATCGTTCTGGTAGAGACCTGTCAATCACCGTGTAGCCCCGCCCTAAAGCATCCCCTGCTTTATGGTCCGTGTGACTCTAAATGGACCATAATGTACTAAATGAACATCATGCTGTATTGAAGAAGACTTGAAACTAGAGATTGAGACCATAAACTCATGTTTACAATGTTTACTGAGGTAATAAATCAAGAGAGAAGTAGTCATTTTCTCATAGACTTCTACACAACCAGAAGAGTCGCCCCCTGGTGGACAGTAGAGAGAATGCAGCTTTAACACATGAAGCACTGGAGGTTGATGACTGGTTCTTAGTCGAGTAACAAACAGTTAGTTTCAGTTTAAATGTCGTCTGAATCTTTATTTAAAGACATTCAGGTGATTTTCATGATTTGAGATTAAACGGAAGAGGACCAAGAATCGAGCCTTGAGGAACTCCACGTCAGTTCTTTCAGATATAAAGTGACAGATTTTTGTGTGTGTTCAGGACGTTGGACTTGGGTTTTGAGAAGGATCTGACCATCATATTAAACAGTCTGAACTCTACGGGACCGAGCAGACAGAACGTCCTGCTGTCTGCTACGTTAACTCACGGTAAATATATACCTTCTGGCTTTAGTTTTTAATCTTTGATTCCTTTTATTAGGGCCCGAGCACCGACGTAGTCGGAGCGGAGGACCTATTGTTATTCTGTTTATTATTATTACTTTTCCGCTTTCATCGCAAAAATGAGGTGCTTGGGATACTGGGAATTTTGTGAAATTTGCCACGCAAGCCAGAATTTGCGAAAATTGCAGTCTGATAGGGGTGTCCAGCTGCGGTATGAAATATTGGCTCGATAGCGCCCCCTATTGAGTAGCCCCAACATTGGGTTTCACCTAGCTGTATGGAATTTGGTAGGAATGTGGATCGTGATGAGACGCACAAAAAATCCTCTTGGAATTTTTCTCTAAACCAAACAGGAAGTCGGCCATTTTTAATTCTATGACGTTTTTGGACCATTTCAAGGCGTCGTACTTTAACAAACTCCTCCTAGAGATTTAACCCAATTTGGTCAGTATGCTCTTGAGACCTTGGCAGTGAAAAGTTACTCAAAGATCAGAAAGTTATTGAACTATGTGTCCGTGGCGTGGCGTCAAAAAAACACCATTCGCCGCGAAACAGGAAGTTGTTGTAACTCGGCCGTACATTGACGAATCTGCTCCAAATCTCTCATATGTCATAACATCCTGACCCGGAACACATCTATATGATAATTTAGAATAATAGTAATAGCGCCACCTAATGGCAACTGGAAGTTGTAAGTTGTGTACTTTGACATCCTGCTCCTCACAGATTAATCAGATCCCTCTAAAATGTTGTCAGAACAGCCTTAAGACCTTGATAATGCTTCATTGTGAAGATTGTAAGAAGTTGTTGAAGGGCGGCGACGTGGCGGTTTGGCGAATTTCGATCCTTCGCCATGAAGAAATAAACTGATGTAACTCGACTCCACATCATCAGATCTTTACCAGATTTCACATGTCTGATTAGACTCCAGGCCTGAAGACATCTGCAGGCCAATTTTGAATCATAGTCATAGCGCCACCTACTGGTAACAGGAAGTTAAAGTCATTATACTTTGGCTTGTTTCTCTTAGTAGGTAAATCAGATCAACATCAAATTAGTTCCACACAAATGTAAGAAGTTCATAATACCAGTTCATGAAGCTTTTGATGTTTCGTCGAACGCCGTTGCCGTGGTGATGCAGTCTTCGCCGTTAACAACGAAGGTCATTTAGAGAGGCTAAAAATGCTCGAAACATAAGCAAAATTGGCAAGCAGATTACAAGCCCAAAATTTAGTTATGGAATATGATTTTATTGGTTCAGAGTGGCAAATCGGCTCAATAGCGCCCCCTACAAAATTTCGACGAAGCAGCCCTCGCAGTATGCTTGACCTACATGTATGAAATTTGGTAGGAACATGTATCACATATGGACTTAAATAAAAGTCTCTTGGGGCCATGCTCTAAACCCAACCGGAAGTCAGCCATTTTGAATTCTTTATGAATTTCTAGTGTCGTTTTTGTCATTTCCAGGCGCTGCACTTTAACGAACTCCTCCTAGGGAATTAATCAGATCAACTTCAAATTTGGTCGGTACAGTCTAAAGAGCTTTGTGATGAAAAGTTACTCAAAGCTTGTTGTTTCGTGAAAAGCTGTTGCCGTGGTGACGCATTCTTCACCATGAAACATTAAGGTGTTTTTGAGAGGCTAGAAATGCTCGAAACATAAGCAAACTTGGCATACACATTTAAAGCCCAAAATGTAGTTATAAAATATGATTTTATTGGTTCAGAGTGGCAAATCGGCTCAATAGCGCCCCCTACAAAATTTCGACGAAGCAGCCCTCGCTGTACGTTTCACATAGATTTACAAAATTTGGTAGGCACATGTGGACTTAAAATAAAGTCTCTTTGGACCATGCTCTAAACCCAACCGGAAGTCAGCCATTTTGAATTTTGTATGAATTTCTCGTGTTTTTCTTCGATTTCCAGGTGCTGTACTACAAACTCCTCCTAGGGAATTAACCCGATCAGCTTAGAATTTGGTCAGAACAATCTAAAGACCTTAGCGATTAAAAGTTACATTATAAAACGTTATAATGAATGCTTCATACTACAATCTAAAGTTACAGAAGAACTTAGTGTGTTCAAGTAACAGCAAATGGCACTACTGTTTTGTTAACTTTCATGTAAGTCCAAATACAATCAGCAGGACACTGCAGGGAGTTGAACCCCATCCCAGTAAACTGACAGTCTGTTATGTTACAAACACTGAAGCACATTCACACACATTCATTTTCTTAATGATCTTAACAGGCTTACATTTATGATTGTATCGGATGTACACTCAAAACATTTGAGGCTTAAGACCTGGCAACATGATCTTACTACGCTGCTGGTCTACGCAGGAAATATCATCTCACTCGTGCACGCAGAGTGTGATAGTCACAGAAATTCATGGCCGCGTCACCCGGAGTCCTGCCAGTACCAGGAAATACCGTTTAACTCGTGCACGCAGTGTATGACGGTCACAGAGATGCATGGCCAGAGTCCTGCTAGTACCCTCGACGTGCGTGAAGTTGCGAGGGCCCGATCAATGCTGCTCGCAGCTTTAATTTCATTTGAATTTAATTAGACTCTTTTCTCTTTCGGGTAACATTACTTTTAAGGGTTTACAAACTGTGACAAAGTCAAAACAACTGGAAAATAACTTACATATTTGCTTAAATTTAGAAAAAGTTTCAGATTTATCCTGCGATCAGTTTGTCTGCAGTGAACTCATGAATGTACGGATAAATATCACTGTGATACCGAAGGAAACTGAACAACAGGAAGTCTAAGTCAAGTTCTGCAGCATCTTTTTATATAATTTCTAGTTTATTCTGAATGGACATAGGAGACAAAATAGATGATAATGGGTTTTATCCGTTGCCATCTTGGTTTTAAGCAGCAGCCATCTTAGTTTTATGCGGAAGCCATCCTGGTTTTTGGACGTAACCATCTTGTTTTTTATAATGGATAATAATAATGTCAAAATAAGAGTCTCATGTCTTTGGGTTCACATGTGATGAGTCGTGAGTTTTAACGTCCCGCTGTGTTTCAGGTGTAACTCGGTTAGCAGACGTTTGTCTTAATGACCCGGTCAACATTCAGGTGTCTTGCCCCGCCTTCTCTGACCTCACCACCACCAGCCCCGCCTCCTCTGACCCCAGCGCAGCCGGCCAGTCGGAGAGCTTTGCTCTGCCCGAGGCTCTGAAGCAGTACGTGGTGGTGGTTCCCAGTAAGATCAGACTGGTCTGTCTGGCTGCTTTCATACTGGACAAATGCAAGGTAGACAATATGAATACATGTTCATGGTAAGAAATACATAATATAGTAATGAATATATGATATATCACTGTATACAACTAATGCACTATAGATTTAAAACCCTTCACATTCCCACTACATCTCCGGTCCAGACACCTGGCTCAGGTGGTTTTCAGTTGCAGCGTCCTGATTGGTTGTCAGTTAACGGTCACCATGGTGACAGACTGTTGTCGTTCAGTTTTCCCAGAACAACAAACTCATCGTCTTCACTTCGAGCTGCGAGGCCGTCGAGTTCCTCCACGGCCTCTTCACCTCCGTCCTCTCCGGGCCCTCTTCCAATCAGGGGCCTCGGCTCAGCTTCCTGCGTCTCCACGGCAACATGAAGCAAGAGGTAAAGACGTCCGTCCAACGTTTCTTCTTCTCTCTGCTTTTTATCTGAGCTGAAGTCAAAAGTGTGTGTTTGTTTTCCCCACCAGGAGCGCTTGGACGTCTTCCAGCAGTTTTCAGTGTCTCAGAGTGGAGTTCTGCTGTGTACGGTCAGTGTTTCTGTTCATCGCAGTGGTTACACGTCACTCTACATGCTACGTTACATGTTATATCCATGTTCACATGTCACTCTACTGCTATGTTACATGTTATATCCATGTTCACGCGTCACTCTACATGCTACGTTACATGTTATATCCATGTTCACACGTCACTCTACATGCTACGTTACATGTTATATCCATGTTCACACGTCACTCTACATGCTACGTTACATGTGATATCCATGTTCACACGTCACTCTACATGCTACGTTACATGTTATATCCATGTTCACACGTCACTCTACATGCTACGTTATACTTTATGTTATAAAGATGAATCATGTGTGTGTTTCAGGACATAGCAGCCAGAGGTCTGGACCTTCAACAGGTCACCTGGATCATTCAGGTATCTATTGAAATTCAATATTTTTAGAGGCCTAAAGATGTGAATGTGTCCGTCTTGTTTTTTATCCATCGCCATCTCGTGTGTTCACAGTACACTCCTCCGACGACTGCAGCAGAGTACGTTCATCGAGTCGGTCGGACGGCTCGTATTGGAGGAAGAGGAAGCAGCCTCCTCTTCCTCACTCCTGCTGAGACCGCTTTCGTCACTGAGCTGGCCAATCACAACATCAGGTCTGTTGTAGTACTTTCTCAGTACCATAGAGATTACTACTGATGGTGCTGGTCTAGTATTTCTGTTGGTCCAACTCCTGGTTTTGACCGTGTGGGTGGGTTTTGTTGTGTTTCAGCCTATCGGACCTGAAGTTGCAGGACATCCTGTCCAGTCTGATGATAGATGACACCTACAAGGGGCGGGGCAAATACCACAGCAAGGTAAGACTCCTTTGTTCACTCACACCGAGCTCCAGAGACCTCTTAGAACCTAGCTTTAGAGAGCTAAAGGGTCTGGGAGGTCTCTATGGTGGTTCCAGGTAACTTCACCTGTCTGCCTGTCTCTCTACCTGTCTGTCTGTCTGTCTGTCAGGCTTCATCTAAAGCTCTGGAGCAGGAGACCAGAGAGAGGGCGACTGTTCTCCAGACGGAGTTTGAGAACTTTGTTCACTCAGACGTTCAGTCGGTGCAGAACGCCAAGAGAGGTATGTGACCCTCAGTGTCAGTTATTCAGGGTTATGACTCACTTCCTGTGTTGACATGTGTCTCTGTGATGTCGCTGTGATGTCATCAGCGCTGCAGTCCTTCCTGCGAGCATACACCGCCTACCCCTCCCGCCTCAAACACATCTTCCACATCCGCTCCCTCCACCTGGGACACACGGCCAAGAGCTTCGGCCTCAGAGACGCTCCGCAGGGCCTCAGAGCAGCCTCGGGCCCTGGGGCCAGGACCCACAACAAGAACCAGAACCACAACAAGGACACCAGCAGCCAGACTGCAGCAGCAAGGAGGTGAGAGACTGATGAGGTGTGTGTGTGTGTGTGTGTGTGTGTGTGTGTGTGTGTGTGTGTGTG